TCTTAATTATTTTATGGTTTATTTAAGGACTGTCAGTTACCGTTTAACGTCGAATGAGACTGTTATTGAATAATGAATTAGACTGTAGAACGAAGCGGATGTGGCCTAGTTCGAGGTACGTACCCAGCATTTGCTTGAACGGATTGAGTAGAACCACAGAACATCAGTTAGCAGAGCTGTTCTCTTGGTCTGGATTCGAACCCGTGACCTCCCGATTGTGAAGCCTAATGCTATCCGTTCTGTCGCGATGTTCATTCTTAAAGGGTACCCTGTCAACGTATTGTAGTCACTAAAATATTGCACTATGTTATATATTTCGGATTTGTGGACGTTAAGTGGTATTGATGTTGATGCAGTAACACAAATGCAGTTTACTCTTCACAGCGCCTTTTACTCCCGTTACTATACGGTCATCCTAAGAACATAGAAACTTGAAAAAAAAAAACATTCTTTCTGAAACCTGTGCTATGCAAATTGAAGAGGAGCCCGGATTTTGGAAGCTGCTGGGCTCATATACTTGGGATGTAAGTTGGAAACGCGACCTCATCTGCTCACAAAACGGAGTCGATTGACACATATTTCGCTTTCGTCCCCTTTTCTTAGTTTTCGAGCTGTTTCTTGCCAAAGAATCCGAGGTCAGAAGAGATAACACAGATTAACATATCGAACATTAATATGTAAGTTAAGATTTATTCATTTTGTCAACGATTATCCTCTGTGGTCAGAGTTCTGGCTATAAATCCAGAGGTCCTGGGTTCGATTTCCGGCGCTACAAGATTTTCTGAGATGTAGTGGGTCTGGAACGGGGTACACTCAGCCTCGTGAGGATAATTGAGAAGCTATTTCAAGGAAATAGCGGGTCCGGTCTAGAAAACCGAGATTAACGGCCGTGGGTATTCGTTGCGCTGAACACGCGACACCCTCTATCAGCTAAATTTGGCACTAACTTCGCCAACAAGCTGCGGTCGCTTATTATCAAAATGCTGGATAGTATTGTTATTTTCCTCATCCGAAATGACAAAACCAGGCAGTTGCCATGCCAGACGCGATTATTTATTAAGATTGTTATTTAACTACGCTGTCAGTATCGGAACTGTGTCCATCTGCTGTACAGTCTCTGTACTAACAGCGTAGTTAAATAAACTCAAAACGATAAATAACAAATCATCGCCTTTGCCATTGGAACTGGAAAATAATAAATCCATACACCATTTTAGTAATAAAGAAATAATAAACTAACTTCATGGAGCTCAGCCCTTCTTGAGAAACCACCAATTGTGTAGCTACTTAAGAACTTCTCCAGCATTTTATGGATCCCGAAGGTTCATTACCGTGTTCACAAGAGCCCTCCACTGGTCCCTAACCTTGAGCCAGATCGATCCAGTCCATACCACCTCATCATATCTCTCTGAGATCCATTTTAATATTCTCCACCTACCTGCGTCTTGGTCTTCCTAGTGGTCTCTTTCTTTTTGGCTTTCTAACCAGTATCCTATATGCATTCCTCTTCTCCCCATTCGTGCTACACTTCCTGCTCAACCTCAACCTCATTATAATTATACTCGGAGAAGAGCACAAATTGTGAAGCTCCTCATTATGCAGTTTTCTCCAAACTCCTGTCACTTGATCTTTCTGCAGTCGAAATATTCTCAGCACCCTCTTCTCAAATGTTCCTCCCTTAATGTCAGAGACCAAGTTTCACACATACAGAGCCACAGGCAAAATTATAGTTTTGTGCATTCTGATTTTTATAATTTTAGACAGCAGACAAGAAGACAGATTCTGGACTCAGTCCGGACCGGAATTCATTCCTCTGTTAATTTTCTCCTGAATCAAATAAAGTAGTACAGGATTGTTAATGAGTATGGAGTAGTTTCCGGAATGGGAATTGGCAGGGAAAACGGAAGTACTCGGAGAAAACCTGTCACAGAGTCACTTAGTCAGTCACACATCCCACAGGACCTGGCCTGTGATCGAATCCGGGCTGCCACAGTGGGAATTTGGCAATTGAGCACCTCAGCTATGGCACGGCCACGGTAATTTTTTTAAGTCATCATCAGGGCAGTAATCCTGATACCTTATTGGGTCACTGGGATTCAGGTACGGAAGGTCTAGCATCCAGACACTACGTTTCTCTTTCAAACGGATAATCACACTTTACAATTCGTCGGCACAGGTGACAGTTGGAAGGAGAAAGTGCGCAAACAAGCGCGGGAGAGTTTCATTTTCTTTTCCAGTGGAGCTCAGCAGTGGTGGGTTCGTTAACCTTTATAGCCAATTGCATGAATGCTGTCTTTTTCAGCGCTGTATGCATTAGTTATATACACATGGAGTAGATGTTATTGACATACTCTTTGGTAGAGAGTAGAATGACGGGATTTGTTGTGGGTCATGCAGCTGAGAAAACACACCACAACATTAATTCATTCTTGATGTTTAAATATATTTAACAGCACTGTAATTCATCAGTTTTACCTTTCTTGTACTTGGAATGAGGGAAAGTGTAGCAATTACAATCATTATCATCATCGTCATCATCACTGGGAAAATGGCCATTTTTGAGGCATAGCCTTCCTTAGAAGATTCTGCCTAATTTGTCTCTCATACCATCCTGATTTTACTAATTTGGATTTCGCAACAATATTTTTTACAATGGAAGATCATCCGCCTTGCGTCAAACCCCCAACCTTGAGGACCAGGTCCTAGTGTTTATGTCCCTCAGTGACAAGGTGGCCCAGGCACCGGTTTCCATTTTCATCGCTTTTTCCGGCTCGCAGGGTTACGGTGGAGGTATTCAAATCCGCCTCAACATGGGTCAGTTGAAATAAATAAAGCAAAATCAAAATTTTGACAAAAATTCTAGTATTGAGGTCCATAGTTACTAGTACACAATTAGAACGAAGACTAGGAAAGTGGATGAAACGTAGAGAGTCGGGGAGGGGAGGGGGGAGAGAGAGAGACGTCAGCTGTATGCTAGAGGCCTTAAGAATGAAGACTAAGAAAGAAAACACCGGCTGTAAACTGGAGACCCTGAGAATGAAGACGGAGAAACGGAGCGATTCGGAGCTTAGAAAGCGAGAGACGGCGTCAGCAGTAAAATTGTTGATATGTTCAGTTTTAGCCTAAGATGTTTTGTTTAGAGTATACATAGTAGACTCGTCTTTCATTTGCCATATTTTCAGACAACAATTTCACACTATGGTGCTGTTGGTAGCGGTGCAGGGCGTCAGGCCTTAGTTGTGATAATGAGTTAATTTGAATTATGAAAATATGGTGCCTCGATCATGTACAGAGCGAAATAAGCGAGACTAGGTATAATAGATGAAAAATGAAGAAACAGTAAAGATACGTATAGTGGAGCGTCGATTTAATGATCTCCAGGGTCGCCTGCTTGTGACGTAGTAAGCCCCAACTCGGTCGGAATAATATATATATATATAATTATCAGATGGTAATTACACTCCATACATGGAGGAACTCGCTGGCTGAGTCGGGACTGATGGCACGCACCAGTACCGGTATGGAATAGAGGCTGGTAGAATATCATAGGGGGACGCACAATGGACCAACAGTTGGTCTACGTGCATGGGGAAACCCACCCTCTCCAATACAATACAATAATAGTTCATTATCATCATGTTATATGCTGTTACATAACATAACAGTTGGTAAAGTGACATTAAACGAACCATGAATCTGCATGTATCAGAATTGACTTGGTTGTTCTCTCCATTAGGAATCAAGTTTTGTATATCTCTGCCTTAAACACACAGAAAGTGAAACCCGCTGTCCTTTGATGTAAGGGTGATTATAGAGTTCAGTTCAGTCACACTCAGATGTATTTCAGTACGTCTGAGGTTTTAAATATGATCTCAGCATTTTCTAAGATTTTTTGTTCCAAGAAGTTTTGAACTTGAAACGATACAGCTGTCTTGAGTCTGGTAATCAGACTCACTGGTTCAGCACTGCATCACTCTTAAGACTTATAGTTGGACATGACCCCTGAGGCAGTTCCATTTACTCCATTCTCACAGCTGTGCCCTTAAGATTCCATCTGCAACATGCTATTCTAGTGGCTGCTGTCCAAGAGATTTCTCAACATATGAGTGTATGTCTCTCCAATCCATACTGTGTGGCCATTCCATTAGAACCTCCTTTATTTCACATGACATTAGAAGTTCCTCCTTTTATAATATCCTGCATTTCCCATTTCTTCTGTCCCTCTTGGGTTCATATATTATCCTTAGTAGTTTGTTTTCAAATGTTTTTAGCTCATACCTTTCTTGGCCTTCATGGAATGTTTATCTGTTTATATTAGAATTATGTAATCTCTTATTCTCTGCATATGTTGTAAACGCCTTCATCTACATTATTGTAAGCTAAAAGAAAGTAAAGCTATCCCCGTACCAGGCTGTGAAGGCCCATAGGGTTGTGAGACGTTGAGGGTCAAAGATGGCGGTAAGGTTGTCAGCCTTATGTGCCGGCCGCGCTTTACTCCCCAGGAAAATTATTTAATTCATTCCTGGTACTCATTTCTGTTAGAGGCTGAGTAAACCCCAGGGCCTAGTGCGGCTGGAAGGATTAGGTCAACTGAAAAGAATCCAGTGACCTCATCAGGACTTGAACCCGCGACCTTCTGGCTTGTAGCATAGCTCCTCAACCACTATGCTACCTCGTGCCCTCAATCTACATTATTGCACCGTTTATATTCCCTGAACACCATGTTTAGGTTGTTCCAGTGTTGTCGTGTAATTTTTATTTCTGTCAAAAAGGTCATTTATGCAGATTTGATCTTCCTTAGGTGAAAACATTAAAATTCAACTTCAGAATTAATATAGAAGCATTAGAGCCTGTGTAACATATATACATGTATGTAATTTTAAGTGACTTTTGGTGCTGCATGTTTCCTGACTCTGTGACATTCTTTGTTGCCTTGTTAGACTTTATTAGAGTGTGATTCAATTTTTTATACTAGAAATATGATATATGGTTTGTTCCAGACTGAAGACACGCAAGAATGGGTGAGAAACGGGGAATGAAAGCTCTGGAAGCGTGGTGCAAGAAGGTGACAGATGGGTACCGAGGAGTAAAAATTGACAACATGACAACTTGTTGGAGGGATGGTCTAGCCTTTTGTGCCATCATACATCATTTCAGACCAGATCTTATGTGAGTATGGTTACTTAGTTTCTTTAACAACAATATCCCAACATCATGGGTTATGCATATAGGCCATAACGAAAATCACGAGCACATTTGCTTTACATTAAAACAAAGGAACCTGTACAAAAACAGATACCATCTTGAATTACTGGAGAGGTCCCATCACTACTCCATGAAGTCTGTAGAACAGTGCAGGCATTTCTGTCAGCACTGCACGAGCTTGAATATGCTGCTGTGGTAAAGGTCCATTTCAGTATTTCATAAACATGTATGCACAATTTGCTGGACTACCTCGTTATTTTTGTAGTGATGGTTCCTCATATCGTATTTTAAAGGCCTGAAGAGGTTGTAGCCCAGAGGGGCAAAGTCCAGACTGTAGGGAGAATGGAGGAGCACTTCCTGGCCAACTTTCTGTTTTCCCTGATATCAGGTGTGCAGTGTGAAGGTGTGTATTGTTGTGTCAATAAAGGTTGTGTCTTTTGACTGGGCGCTTGTCATGAAGTGCATGTTGCAATTTCTGGGGTGTCTGAACATAGCGAACTGCATTAACAGTTTCCTTTCTGGGCAGGAAATCAACCAGTATACATTCCTCTGCTCCCGTAACTTTTCCAGCCAAGGGTATGGGTTCTGGCATTCTTCTTTGATGGTGCAGCGCAATACCATTACATTCTCTGTTGTTGTGTTGTCAAAATAGTATTACCAGTTTTTATCACCAGTCGCCTTTGGCAGCATATCGTTGAAGCAACTGTGATAGCACATCCATCCATGCCCTCTCGTGCTTGTCTGTCAGCAGGTGAGGAACCAAGTGACAACAAACTTTCTGGTATTCACAGAGTGTTTATCATCTCTTGCATGACATTGTGTCCAGTTTTCAGGCCTCTGTGGTCTAGTGGTTAGAGTTCCCAGCTACAGATCCAGAGGTCTCAAGTTACCAGATTTTCTGAGAAGTAGTGGATCTGTAATAAGGTCCACTCAACCTTGAGGAAGATTGACAGCCATGCATTCTGTGTGCAGATGGGGAACTTTGTTCAGAAGCTGTATGTGCTGTCTCAGTATTTAATACCTGTACTGCATACATCTGCTCCCTCATATATCCTCACTGAATGGTACTTTATTAATAAACACAGTGATTTTTTTACTTGAACTTTTCCCAGAATAGTTATTCTGTGTGGAATTCAAAAGTGAATTTTAGTGACTTCTGTAGTGGTAAAGATAATGTTGCTCCTGCTCTGAGACACCATGCCATCAAGTTGCTTTGAGGATTCAGAAGTAAGTCGTTATGCATTCTTAACCTGAACATTAAATGAAAATGTGTGGTCAGCCTCATGTTCTGGCTACTTTCACCAGGAAAAAGCCACCTTTCTTGTAGGAGCTTTGATTGGACCCCAGAGCTGATTTGGTCGTTATGACAGAGGATATTATTCCCTGACAGGAATTGAACTATGGTTATAGCTAATCACTATCAGAATTATGCCAGCTTATTATTAATTTTTCTGAGCAGTTAGTGTATGGTTCAGGTTGGCATTTTCAGGGTTGTTGGCAGCTTTTATCTGAGATATGTCTTTTTAAACATGCTGTTTCAGTGACTTTGATACTCTTGAAAAGAATGATATCTATCGTAACAACGAGTTGGCATTTCGGACGGCAGAACATCACCTTGGGATACCTGCTCTTCTGGATGCTGAGGATATGGTGGAATATGAAGTTCCAGACCGCCTGTCCATCTTAACTTATCTTTCACAGTTCTATCAAACATTCACTGGCAGTCGACAAGGTATGTCTGGTTTTCATAAATTTGGATACTCAGATTTCAGTGACGAAGTTCCTAGTAAGCCTTCACAAGAATTGGGAGTTCATTCTTTGGAAGCTGCCGATTTTGTTGCCTGTCCATATGTCTTAGCTCATTTCAGTTTCACACATCAGTATTATAGATGATAATTGACCAATTCAAGATCCGTAGTATGAGTAATATAGTATTATGGAGGCCACTGCTTCTGGGAACTGTACCTTTAGAGATGTCACCGAACATTAAGGTCATATAAATTTGTCAAGTGGGAACAGCACCACCGACATGCAGTTGAGGATCATGCATTTGCGTTGAATACTAGATCTTCAAAAAATTGCAACATTTGTTAATATATATTTTTACGAAAATGGACAGTAGTAACAAGGTGACTTTGCGAGAAAGTTATTTAAGCCTATGAGAGTGGAGTCAGACACCGCATTTTAGAATTGACTAATAGTCTTCTTTTTTTACAGTTTGAAGATTGTCATAATTGCACGAAATACAACAGTGTTTTAAATTGTATGAGAATGAAACATGTTGTAATTCATCTTATGTTATGTTGTTTATCAAATTGACATGTCTGGAATATGATAGTATCTTGGGGTTGACACATTATTACCAACAGAAAGGTTCCACCATATGGAAAATAACACTATATTCTGTGGACAGAATTTTTTTATGAAATTGGCTGTGGTCTGTCTGTAAGATAATAGTTTGTTTCAAGAAATTGCAGAGCAAGAGGAAAAAATAATCATAAGTGTAAATAATGTCTCATATGCAAATTGAGTTTTAATAATAAGAAATATTTTTGTATGTTCAGACATGGAATTGCATTGATGCCAAGATTCTGAGAGTAAAGCGAATACTGGTTGACACACGGCTGGCTGGTATTGCCAAACCTCAGGTGGTTAGATGCAGTTTTTGTCTCACTGGCCTCAGTTCATTTTCAGATGGAGCTGTACTCGTATATAGGGGAATTAAATGGCATAAGACAGTTTTTTTAATCAGATACTTCTATTCCCTTGCCAGTCCTCTATTTGTTACTGCCCTTGAGATGTGTGATAAGGTCCGACCACCAGCTATTATCATGACTGCTAAGTGAGCTGTTTTTGTTGAAAACCTTTTTACAGCAACGGGACAAAATTTCCTCATATCTTGTGTAAGTGCATTGTATATTTATGTATAATGTCGGTCTGTGCCACATGGGTGAACACTTTATCTTCATTTCTTGAAATACATCTATGACAAAAATTTAACATATAGAAATTTTCAAGCAGTTCTTTGGTTAGTCATGTAAGAATGTCACGTGTGTTTTTTCCTGTTTAGTTAGCTTCATTAAACTAATGTATTTTCCACATTTTCCCCATGCTTTGCTTTAAATTAACAGAATTTTTATAAGATTTGTTTTATGTGTGATACATTATATGTTTTAAAATATGTGATCACAGAAAGTTTGTAAAATTTGAATGCAGCCACTGGAAAATTTTGCTTGAGAACTAATGGTTTAGGGGCTTCACTTGACCGGTATCTGAATAAAAGTGTAACATAAGTAAAACTTCATTATCATAGACTGTGTTAAACACCATTATAATGTTTATGTGCTTGTTATAATTAAAAATTCTTTGCCTTCAAATATTGCTGAACTGAAATTCATCATATTCATTTATCATTTTTCCCTCCATCTGTGCATTTATATTTCTTACACAGTCTCTTCTGAGAACTGCGATCACATTATTTCATGTTACACAAATTGTTATGTGCCTATCCTTGTAATTATACATAGGTTGGATAAAAAGTAGTGTCAACACCTCTTATAGTTCTGAAATGACTTTATTGCCTGAGGTAAACACACTTACATTCCTTCAATATATTCCCCCCCCATGTGTACCGCCTTCTGCCAAATTTATGGAAGGTTTCGTACACCATCAGCACGTCCACTTCTGTTGATGCCCAGCAGTGACCGCCCTACAGCACGAATAATCTCCTCTCCTGTGTTGTAACGTGTCCCTCGCAGTGGTTCTTTCATTTTGGCAAAAATATCGTAATCACAGGGACTCATATCTGGTGAGAATGGTGGATGTTACAGTATCACCCATTGCCAGCAGCGAAGGAGATCCTTGACAGCATCAGCAGTAGATCCCTTGCATTGTCGTGAAAGATGATGGCGTTCGTTGCCAAAAAGTGTCGTCGCTTTCTCCTGAGTACTGAACGAAGATGATTATGCAGGAAATTGCAGTAGTAGGCAGCGTTTATTGTCTGCGTTGAGGTACAGTGTGGTGCAGTATCACTCCATTAATGTCATATGCCACAATGAACATTGCCTTCACATTACTCTGTGTAGGGTGCACTTTCTTTGGACGAGGAGAGCCAGGATGCTTCCATTCATTTGATTGTCGCTTCAAGTGTGGTTCGTATGAGCGAGCCCAGGTTTCGTCCAGAGTGACGATGCTTCCAAGGAAGTTGTCACCTTCCTTCTGGTACCGATCTAACAAGTCCTGTTCAATTGCATAACATTGCCATTGTTGCACCTCAGACATTATTAGGGGTACCCAACATGCTGCAATTTTGCGGTATCCAAGAATGTCGTGCAGAATGTGGAGCACGGTTTTGTGACATACGCCTACCTCAGCAGCTAACTCCCATGCAGCCCATCGATGATCGACATCCAGCAAGAAGCAAGAAGCTGAATTGTGTGGTTGTCAACATGGGGTCGTCCTGAACGATGGCTGTCCTGAATAGCATCCCTCCCTTCACGGAACAATTTCACCCATCGTGCCACTGTGCAATATGGCAAGGCAGCATCACCATGGGCTTTTCACAGTCCCTGATAACAGTTTTGTGCACTACGACCTCATGCAACTTCAATTTTTATCCAGTAGCGTTGTTCTTGTTTCGTAAGCATGTTCTTGGGGCGCTTGAACTGGGCTCCTGCACTTCAAGACGATGCGCAGTGCAGCTCAATGAAACACAACCAGAGCCACTCACTGCACTACTTCAACTGACCTTCTGCTATCAGCTACAGATGGCGCTAGTGCCACCTGATGCACATCTTTCATGTTACAGCAGTGTTGCCACTACTTTTATCCAACCCTTGTATATGGTTAAATGCATCATGTTTATATAATTTCTTCAGTTTTATTAGTCATGTGTGCATGTGTACATGTGCTTGCCTCTTAGTAATTATAATATTATAAATCTAAATGGCATATAAAAACTGTGTAATTCAGCTGAAGCCAAGCTAAGACAGAGGAGTGTGAATGACTTCTTATACACTGAGGATTATGGTGCTGACAGTGATACCAATCTGGATACAAGTAACTGTGGTGACAGTGTAAGTAAATTTGTAGTTAATAGAGAAAAAAAATACTGTCAAGCAACCAAGTGTTTGACTCTTTGTCAAAGGAAACCACTAGATGACTGCTCTTCATTGTGCTAATATGGTCATGTCATGTGCATTCTAACATATTGTAGCTTATAGACCCATTACTGGATAACAACATCAAAACAACATTCGCTCCTAGGCAACAGATTCTTAATAAGCAATTATACACAACATTTACTGTGTAACTCCATTGTAAACAAACATCTTCCCACAGAAACGAATGGAGTACAACAGCAAACAGTGTTTTCTATGCAGTCCAAGTTGAGATGTTATAACCTAGACAAGTTTAGAAGTTAGTCAGTTGTAAGGGAGTTTGTTAAGAGAAGACTTGATTGATGCAGTTAGCACAGAACTGAAGAATCTCCACTGTTATAAGTTGTTACCAGGGAAAGACTGGTGAAGACACAGCCAACTGAAAAGACTTAGCATGTGCTGTAGTGGTTTGTAAAGTGTGGAAATTAGCGATAGTATTACAGCTATTTGTAGTTATGACCTGTATCTTCAATCCAAAGCCCTGTCAAGAGTCACTCTAACACATAACAATGTGTTATTAATTTGCTGCACAGGATCTTCACCTACAAGGACATTATCAAAGAGGCCGGTATCAGCATCTGAGCAAGGAATATTGTCTCCTGTGTCAGAAAGTCCTCCCAGCAAAGTAAGTATACTGAGTGTATGTGTTCTGTATGAGGGTACAAATGCATGAGGTGGCATACTTGCTTTTGTGCTGTATTTTATTTTCAGAGCACGCTTTTGTGTTTATGTTTTTAATTTGAGTTGTATCAGATATGGATTCTCCTGTTATGTATTTGGGTGTTTGTTTTGAAGCATTGTTTTATTTTTTGTTTTTCACACTTTTAAGCGCCACATGCATGTAAGAGGCATATGGGGATAACAGATCGTAGATAAAATAAGCTGTGAAGATGACTGAAGTAATTGAGAAGATGATCTAGTGGTGGGTTTGTTTCTTCAAGAAATTTATCTGATTGGCAGAGTACTGATTAATTGATCAAGGAAGATTATCCCATGGTGTTAATTATGTAATTGCCCTCAACATTGATTTTATGTTTCTCAGTTCAGATTTTTTTGTATAAGATTTCAATTTCAGTAATCATAAGTTAGTAATTTCTCTGTTTAAATCTCTCCATTTATGATTTTCCTTATTTTAATGTTAAAATCAGTCCCCCTTGTGGAACTTGAAATGGAGATTTTATTGTAGTTCAGTGGCCATTTGGTCAGTCTTGTGGCTGTGAAGGTTTGTGAATACTGTGTAATATGATGGAACTATTTTCTTCTGATTCTGCTAATTATCTCCATGAAAAGGCATACTGGTATGCTTCAGAAGCCTGCTGTGTCTTCATTCAGGTGGAGGTAAAGTATGCTTACTGAAATACCATATATCATTCCCATCCAGAGAATAACCATGTACAAAGAAAAATACTGCCATGAAATAAATACTTTTCTGAGAGTGATTTATGAGTAATTGGTTACAGTAGTGATTGTGTTGTTCAAAAACTGGAAATACCATAAATGTTGCATGTGGGGATGGTGATGGTAATGGTGGTGCTGGAAGTGAAAAGAGAGCAAGAGAGAAATATCTGATATGTGAGAATAGGGATTGATCTCCCCACCATCTTAAAAACAAGAATTTAAAGTTACTCTTTGAGTTGCAGGTACTCGTAGTATATGTAGAGGGTTACAAGCAGTGGACAGACTTTGTCACATGCCTGTACTCTGACAAGGTTAGAACTTTGTTGTGAATATGGGAAATAGCAGGTCACATCACATTTCAAAATCCATGTTAAAACTGTAGGCCATTTCAGTTGGCTGTTGTCACCATCATCATCCTTCTGGTCAGATTTGCAGAATCTTCCTCATAGGTTAGTAATAGAATCCACCATAACCAAAACAACCAGTAGATTGATATTACAGGTATTATCTGACCATATTGTTAACAGTTGTTTTACCCAAGAAAGTAATACCAATTTAAAACATTGTACTGTAAAATTAAGATTGGAACTGCAATAAAGATGCAAATCTGAATAAGTTCTTTGGCCTAAAACTATTGAAAATGGATGTATTAAGTCCCTTTTCACCAAACTGAAAATCATGGGAATTGTTCATGGTCTGTACAGAAAATGTATGTTATGAAACATAAGGGTGAATATGAAATAATGTTAATGAAGAAAGTCATCTTCTGGGATCTGGCGCCGTGTATTCTTGGTTTTAACTGACGTTTCGGAAACATTGGTTAAAACCGAGAATACACGGCGCCAGATCCCAGAAGATGACTTTCTTCATTAACATTATTTCATATTCACCCTTATGTTTCATAACATACATTTTCTGTACAGACCATGAACAATTCTCATGGTTTTCAGTTTGGTGAAACGTCAGTTAAAACCAAGAATACACGGCGCCAGATCCCAGAAGACGACTTTCTTCATAGTCATCGCTGTGAAAACCTCAAAACTTACATGAAATAATGTTGTTTGTGCAAGAGCCTAATATGAAATAAACACTGATTAAACAGTAGCTGTACAGCATGGATGTTCAGCATCTGTAATACCAAACACTGCTGTTGGTCAAGATGCTAGATTCTAAATCTGTTCTATTTTCACAATTTATTTCTGTAAGATCCTGATATCTGGGAATTACATGCAGTCCTTCATTTTGCTGCCCTAGCAGTACTAGGTCATGAAGCTGCTCTAGTTACCACATACTTGATCCGTTCTGGGTCGAGGCTGTATCATGTGAAGTACGTAATACATACATGCATTAAACCATAGAGTTTGCAGTTCCTTCTTTCCAGTTTATGCATCTTATGATTTTCAGGCATATTGGTGAACTGACAGTACACTGACACCTAAATATAATACATTGCTGAATTCATCATTCCACCCTGTAAAATGCAGAAATATCTGGACAGCTTTGTATTTTGTAATGGTTTGATTATGTTGCTGAATCATTGTAGTATATTGCTCTTTGCTTCTTGCTTTAGTTGCATGCGGTTTTTTAATTCATATTCCTTATTGCAAGTTGATGAAGTTTAATTCCATATGTAAGCTCAAAACTGTCTCCAGAGTGCCCCAGCTTTCCCACCTGTTGGAAGGCAGTGGAATGTTGAGATTCTATAAAATGCCACAGTTGTTTAATGTGTGTACTTCTCACTCAGACATCTTTGCATGAACTCTCCATAGTTTCCACAATGTATATTTCTAAGCACACTTGCAGGAGTAGCCAGTGAATGTTGGTGTGCGGGTGTGTCCTGGGTAGACACCTCTGGTTAAGTTTCTCAGTTTGTGATAAGTTGTAGGTGATCCCTTGGACTTTGCATTATATTAAAAAAGTTCATATTACTACCTGTTATTGAAAGGAATAAACCTGATACTAATTTGATAAAAGACAGAGGGCTTAAATAGTAGCTTGGACTTAAATTGTAGGCCAGGTAGTAGCAGGAGGAATTGTGAATAGTAGTCAGGCCTAAATAGTAGCTGGCTATTAGAACAAAAATTCTGTATGGTGGCTAAGCCTAAAATAATGGCTGGGTATTAGCACAGATATTGAGTAGTGGCTGGGTTTCAAATAGTATTAACAAGTAAACTGAATTGTAGCCAGCACATGAATTGTAATTGGTGGCCGGGTCTGATATTATCTGAAAGAGCACTAACATAGAAATTCTGATCAAATTGATCAGATTGATTCTAATGACTGCTGATGCTGTGGAATCAGTATTTGACAGAACATAGAAATTTGTTTAATCTTTTATTTTGTATTTAAATTAATAAATATTTCTAACTTCCAAGTGATGTATAGTAGTGTTATAAATGTTCTGTTTAGTCATTGTTCCAGTAATGATTCTGAAGATTAGTATTTGATAAGACAAGGCAGTTTTTTACTTTTCATAGTTATAATTATTTTTATAATTTAACAGAAGCATTTTATATTTAAATTTATGAACATTTCCAAATTCACTTAGTGCAATGTAACAGTGTAGATGTTGGTTTAAATATTGGAAGTGGTTCAAGGTTGATCTGGACGTAATTTTTTTAACAAAAAGAATATACATGCCAGAATCATGAAACTCTCATTTCTTTTCAATATTTTCTCCCTTCACACTAGCACATTTTTTCCATTCTCCTGGAAAGTTACTTATGCCAGCAGCATAAAAAGTTTTGTCCTGACTGTGTAACCAGTTCAGTACACAGCATTTGAGTTCATCATAAGTTTGAAATTTCTGTGTCCTTAGGTGCATACTCATTGGCTCAAACAAATGAAAATCACCGGGGGGTTAAGTCTGGGCTGTAAGGAAGGTGGTTCATGATTTCCCAATCCATTGTTGCCAGATATGCTGTATGTGGACTAGCGTCATGCAGTGAGTTCCTTTGGCAGTTTCACGGGTCATCTCTTCCAGTGATGTGTTTCCCTCTAGTACAAACTAGTGCAGATGTTTGGCAGACAGCCATGCCCTGCACCTTCGTGTTGAACATTAACATCTTTGAGACCTACTGGGCACACATTTTCTTGAACACTGTGTCCATGTATAATTGTTCCAACACATCAAGCATTATGCCACTGACGGATGAAACATTATGCTCTTTAATTCACCTATATTCCAAACTCAGCTCTTGAACTTGGCAAATGTTCACACTGGGTACAGCTGTTGGCTGAATGAGAGCTTGTTGTACATTTGACACTTCTTTGCGGCCTTTGGAGAACTCATTGCATCAATCATGGACACTTATATGTGACAGAGTCTCTTCCCCATACCGTGCATTTAATCTACGAAGAATTTCTGCTTGTTTCACATTCTCTTTCAATAGGAATTTGATGATACAGTGCTATTCTACACTAGGATTGACACCATCTTGTACCAGGTCTAATGCACAGAAACGGGGCACATGGCTAACTGCCAGGCAGCTTGCCTTATGATAGGTGGTGAGAAAATTAAATTTGATAAGCTCATAGGTATAAATAACTAAAAGTACTGAGTCTGAGTCTCATTTTATGACCGATGGTCAGTCGACCAGTCTGTCTTGGCATAAATCAGCCATGTGGGGCTTGCGACCAGATCTTTATTACTGTTTGACAGTTAAGGCCTTGTTTTTTATGGGCGCCCTCTCTGACAAGAGGACGGGCCTGCCTTTTGTATATGCTGCTGGTCCTTGCCAGCGCAGTCTTTCTTGGTATTCGAGACCATATATTACTGTCTCAAATTTGAGACTTCCCTTTTCATCCCCTCCAGTGACTCGCAGGATCACAGTGGAGCTATTCGAACCCGCCTCAACACGGGTCTCTAAAAGTACTGCAGTACATGCAAATATATAAAGACATATAGATTCCTTTCAGAATTTGTTTCTCAACACGTATAACTCCAAGGATTGAATCCCATCTTGCACAAACATGCAATTCCATGTATGTGATACCATCATTAAGTGTTCTATCTGTCACAGGAACTGACTGCACTCTGAAAGAGAATAAGACAAAGGAAAATAATTATTGAGTAGGTTGGTTAGTGGTAATGCTTCGAACTTTCTCTGGAGTTACCCGGTTTCAGTCACAGCTTGGTTACCAGCTGACTGAGGACTTCTGTGCTGGGATGTTATCTTCACATAGGCTACACTGTCCACTCTGCTCCATATTATTGCCATCTTCCCATGCTGTTCAGGCCCTGGACCCTGTTTGCTTGAAATATTAATATAAAATGTCATAAGAGTTCTACCTGTTGCCATTAAGACAGATGGGGAAGTGGAGGTATAGCTACGTGCTACGTGTATTCTTATTCATGGCACTAAATACAGGCTTCTTAAGAGGTCAGGCACTTTACACCAGAGGAAAGAGGTCTCATACCTGGTCTAGGTGAGGTGTGGCAAACAGACAGCTCCCATCCTTGCCTGGTCATCAGGCCAGAAGTCAGTCTCTTTATTGACTGAATTTCTTGACTTCCAACTTAAGAATCACTTACTTTAAATTTGTACGTTGAGGGTACACCAGTCCCTAAAATTACATGTATTTTTTGGATCTAAAGTGATATAAAGTATATAACTTTATTCCTATGTGAACATAGACCAGTTGATAAATTGCATTGCTGCAACTCATGTACAGAGCTAACCCGACACTGTACTCTTTTATGTCCCCAGGAGGAAAGCTCGGACATTATGGGACAGTATAAACCTGAAATATTCTGCTAGAAGGTAAATGCTTTGTGTATTTGTTTTGCTTGCTTTGCTGTGTTGCTTGTCACCATGTTTTTTTGTCATCATCTATGCTAGTGGTTCCCAGACAGTAATTTGTAAACCCCTTCAGGGTAATGATGGATTCTTGTGCATACTCTGCTGAAGTACATAAAATGAACACATAATGGAAAAGTTGTGTGCACATTCTGTCTACATGTTTCAGTTCTGAAAACTACTGAATGGCTTCTGATGAAATTAGATTGGGAGTCTACAGTAAAACTTGTCAGAGGAATATAAATATAACTTTTATTCATAATAGACTAATGGAACCTTCACTTTACATGCATCTCAAATTGAATTTTATTGATTTTCTTAAAAATTGTTTGTCACACAAAAAATTGGCGTGTGGTATAAAATACAGTTCTCTTTGACATCTACAGCGTTCACTTGAAACATTTCTTGATGCTCCAAATATTTAATGAACTTAAGTAAAATAAATTATCCTATATATGATCTACAGCTTTTATTTGTAATGTTTCTGGTATCGTATTTAATGTGCGACAAGAAAAATATATTTCTGTGTGCAGTGTGATGTGTGTATAGTAGTGAGATATAGTAAAAAATGTATTTGGAAGATGCGTATGCGCATTTTGCACTCCTGGGATTTAGTGATATTTTAGATGAGATAGAAAGGCATTTATATAAATGCTGCACTGTTTGATTTTCAAAAGTTAAAAAAAAAAAATTTTTTCTTGAACTGGATAGTTTGAGATATACATATTGTGACATGTCAGTGCATTGCCAGGCAGCAGGTTGGTAAACAAGTTCCCACGAAGACAGATTCTTGATAAACGGTCCGTTGTTAGGTTATGCAACAATAGAGGACTCTCCATAGACATTCTCACGGCAGTGAATACAGACAACTATAGAAGAACTGCTGTTGCTATGCAACAACCGGTAAACAAGGGAATGTAGAAGCAATTAAAGAGACACATAAAGAATAATTTGTAAAAAAAAATTGAGTTTAATTTTAGTCAGGTTCCTCATGTTTTGTTCCCCCCCCCCGGGAAGATATAATGTTTGGGAACTATTACATTCTAGTTCAGCACTTATTTCATTTAAAGGAAAAAAGCGTTCTCTTACTGATGTGTAGGATGTTTATGCTGATTGTGAAAGTCACTTTAGTGTTATTGACAAAAATTCATTTTTAACTGCTTTTGTAATTTTGCATATATCACTTCGATACTTTTGCAAATTTAAAAATGATCTTCTTTGGTTGTTTTTGTGACCATATTTTTCTAAACGTTGTGGATTTCAGGTGGCTGAACGATTAGGGCGTAGGGAACCATGTGCAAAGTGTGGACTTCCTGTATTCATAGCAGAACGTCTTTTAGTGAGTGGTCGCACACTTTACCACCGCACATGTTTCCGTTGTGCCCGTTGCCAGAACCAACTCAGTCTTGTCAACTTCTATGAAACAGAAGGGGGAGACTACTGTTGCGAAACCTGTCCAGATGAGGTCCTTGACTCATCCAACCATGAAGAAAAATCTCAAGTTGCTAGTCAAAATGACCAGAGTAACCTTGACATGATAGGACATGCAGGTCCAGAAGATGAGTACAGTGCAGAATTTGAATTGGCCTTAGAGAAATCGGCAGTGCCACTTATCAGTGAGGTCAAAGAACAACCAGAATTAAAATTTTCTAAAGCTCGTTCCGATTTTATGAGTAGTCAGCTGACCGTCCCAGAGTCACAAGGCTCGGAAGAAATAAGTAGTGTTAGTAATAATGAGGAAACATTGCCACAGCCTCAGAAGCAAGGTATTGATAACAGTAAAGAGAATGGGTGTTCGTTATCCTTGCAATACAGTGCACTAGAGAGGCAGACTGTTCACTCTTCTTCAAACACAAGTTCCTTAAACAATGTAGATAAATCAAGAAGCAGAGTGAGTAGTGAATGTAGTTTTGTAAATATTGACAGTACCCTGCCACTGGACAGTGGTGTTGCAAAGTGTTCTTCTAGAAAATCAGATACTTCTAGTGTTGTTGGAGATGGTTTATTCTCAGGAAATAGTGTTCCTTTCAAAGTTAGTTCAACTAGTTTAAATAGTGTTGGTGGTGATAAACAGCTTGAAGTTAGAAATGATAGTGTGGCCCTGGAGGATCACAATAAAGACCTGAACTCGTCTGGAGACCTGTCATCCTCCATAGTCAAGTTGAGGTTAAAAATGTTTGAAAAGAGCGGTAATGCAGAAGAAAATACTAAAGCATTAAAGACGAGATCCAATAACATATCTGCTCTCTACCAAAAGGATGAGACCAGTTCAGCTTCGTTAGATATGTTTATCACTAGATCTACATCTGTTGAGTCCAAAGACAGAGTCTTTGTCGTTGAAGAAGGTAAGGTTGAAAAGCAAGAGGATCAAAATGGACAAGAAAAGTTAGTTCATAAAATTGATATTTCCAAAGAGGAAAGCGGGTTTGAAACTAATGAGAGCATCGATGTTGGACTAGCTTTGAAGAAGGAATCTCAGTCACATATCGATGACTCAGTTGAACATATGAATTCTGGGGACAGAATGGTAAGAGAAAAGTCATCTAGTATAAGTGACATACAGGAGACAGATAAAAGTGACATTCCAAAAGACACAGGTCCCATCAAAGTCATAGAATCTGATGATATTCAGACAAATTTTGCCTTGCCAAAAAGCAAGTCAGCCAAGCAGAACAATGATTGTACATATCCCAGTGAACTTAATCCATTTGGGGATGATGATGATGACAGCAGTATTACTGAACAGGCAAATGAACGAAGTGTTGTATGTAAGCCATCTGTATCAAAAGTGGCACAAGAAATGAATCCATTTGGGTCCAGTGATGAAGAAGAGATGCGGATTATGGTGGAGCCTCCTACACCACCTGTTCCTGTTGCCAGAACTAAAAGAAAGATAGTACTAGAAGCCCCAAAAGTGAACCTGAACCCTTTTTGGAGTGATGGAGAGGAGCCAAGCAGTGGGGATGAAAATACAGGGTCCACATGTAGCACATCAGAGAAACTTCCTGTACCCCGGCCTAGGACTGTCATGTGAGTTATATAAAGTTTAAGTGTTGTACTCCTGAATTTAAAATGATCCTACCTTTCAGAATTTAAGTGATGTACTGTCTCCATGGTGTAGGGTATTCCTGGACAAGTTGATATCATTGAGCTGGATAAGAAATTCCCTGCTATTTGGAACCAGAGTGTCATTGCTGTGTCCCAAAACCATATCACTGGACCTTATCCAGAGACAGTTGAATTCAGTCCATTTCACATCCTAACATCCTGTGTCTCTAAAACCCATTTTAGTATTTTCCTTTCGAGCATGCCTAGGTCTCCCATTTGGTTTTTCCCCTTGAAGTTTTCAAACTTAAAATGTTGCATCTGTACCTCATATCTCTCATGCATGCTGTATGTTTTGCCCATATTTACAGAACACACACACACACACATAACAGGTGAAGAGTACAAATTACAAAGCACCTCAATATGTAATTTTCTAGTCTCCATTTTCTCAGTATCATATGTTCTCAGTACTTTATTCTCAGGCAATCTCAGTCCATGTTCTTCCCTCTGAGTGTGACATCAAATTTAATGCCAAAGTCAAGCAGCAGGTAAAATCACAAAATTTTCTCTTCTGGAATGTGATGTCATGTAGTCCATTAGAAGTCCACTTATATTTCAGAGGAAGCTCAGTGGACTTCTGCCGGCGTACATGGCGTTAATTCCAGAAGACAGTGTATTTCGACAAGATATTAATGTACACAGTGTTATGTACCAGATGATAGTAGTACTCTTCATGACCACCACTGTGGCAACCTCAAATTCAGCAAGTAAAATTATGGTTTGTAAATATATTTTCTGAAAGAAAATGGGAGATTAAAGTTTACAAACTGAATTGGAGCAAAATAAAGGATAATGCCAAGTCAGACAAATTTTCGCAGTCACTATTTATGAGGTGTATCAGGATGTTCTCCCGACTAGGTCAAAAAAGAAATGTTGGCTTGACTTACTCAATTTTGGCTGTCATCTCCTTCAAAATAGTCTCCTTGGAAAAGTATACAAGGTGTGGCAATAAAGAACCCGGATTACTTTTATGACTCATTTCCGGCCACGTCATTGACGAAGAGGAGGGTAGGGCATTGACCCTTGGACTTCCCTCTACCGTCACACAAAGTTTCATTCACGTGCATCGGTTAGTCTGGCCGCGACCATTGTTAGAAGCGGATCGTGTTTCTGAGCTCCGTCGGAATAATGCTGAGTGCTAATGCAGAACAACGTGCTAACATCAAATTCCTCACAAAACTTGGAAAATCTGCCACTGAAACTTACAATTTGTTGACAGAA